ATGATCCATCAGCCTCAAGTGGAGGTCACACAGTGGGTCCTGAGCCAAGGCAAAACACAAAGTAAACAGGTTAAATAATCAGGCAATCATTTTACCTGGGTTTTGCTTCCTGTAGCCAGAGGATGTCTTTGATGCATGGCAGTGTGTTTTTACCCACTGTAAATGGCACTACCGGGTGGTTGCTGTATTATACCCTTAAGGTTAACAGATGTTTTATACCAGCTGTGTGGGGGAATCACTGTGATGCTCTTCATGGAGCAGCAAGTTACATTCCCTGGAGGTAAGATTTTAAAACATTTTATAGATCCTGTTAACACAAAGCAGGAAGGAAAAGGAGAGGGAGTGTAGGTAAGAAAAAACCACAGAAGCAAAAAAAACAGCTTCATTCTTCCTTCCAAGTCTGTATCATCTGATACCATGTCTATAACATCACTAAAGGAAAAGTTTGGCTGTGTCCAGTAAGGAACAACCTGAGAGAGACCTGTTTCAAGTGAAGCCCACATGGGGGTCTGCATGTAATATATAATGCAAGCACTGCTATTGGGATGGTGAATACAATAGAAGTGTAAGCTGTGACTAAACACTGGCTCACTTCTTTGTTAGCAGCAGTAGATGGCAACAGTGGAAAGTCAGTTTTAAACACTAAGCTGCCATTGCTGAAACACACCAAAAATGAATGCACTTCTTTTCCTTTTATTTTAGCATTCATAGTCACTTGGTGCCAGCAGTCATGATCTATAAACTCTTAATTTCCTCCATTCATCCTTATCATCAGAGAATTGTTTTCTGAAAGTAAACAGAAAGTGCCAGAAGGATGAGCACAGATAAACAGACAAAACAACTAATGAAGTTTTAGAGGCATCCAGAGTAAATTCCCTGATTTAATATTTCTGCATACAAAGACAAAGCAGTCAGCATGAAAGAACACAACATGTGCTGAATATACAGAGGAAGGCTTCTAATGACATTTTCACTGGATTTCAGAGGTACTGTTGTGCCTTTTAGGCCTCATTATATGTAGCTTGTAACCTGTTATTGAAGGAGGTTTTGAGAATAGGAAGGGTAAGAGGGAAGCACACTTACTGCAAAGTGTGTGGAAATAAAAAGCCAACCAGGGTAGGTAGGACTTTTTTCCTTCATAGATGTGTGTAAAAGAAAGACCAAGACCAGGACCCTCTTGTTCTACCGTTGTGCTACCTACTGAAATTAAGGCTAGAAGTAGCCAAAAGTTAAAACCATGAGACTACTCTGTGGATGGAATTTTATGTGCATATGCTCTAGATCCATGAGGATTGATGAGCCCACTTGCCACAGACACCAATGGAAGATCACTTTGGCCCTTTTCTCCTGTAGTAGCAGACTAGACTAGTGTCTTACACCATCCTTTCTCTTTCCTGCTCTCAGTTTGTTATCACATCATACACAACTGGTTGAAATAAAAAAAAAATTTTCAAAATATCATCTTTCCTGTCCTTTCTGCTCCATGAGAGTGATGAGTTTTTCCTGCTAATTATGCAGTTACTTCCTAAAATATCAGATCCTCCACAGCCTTTCCATTTCTTTACACAGTGCAGGGCAGTCATGCTGGTGCTTGAATGATATGAAATAACCTCCCACGCTCACTAAAACATGGTAGTAATTCAGGGACTGCAGGTGAGAAATCTCTGTGTATGAAATAATACTGGCATAGCAAAATCTGTTCCACTAAACTCACAAGTTGTAAATGCAGGAGTTCAACAAAAACAGATTTTCTAATTTTTCCTAACTGTGACTGGGGTGGAATAGTGGAGGTTGTCTGTGCTCAGATTGTAGAAGGGAAATATTTAACATTAATAAAAATGTCATGTGCGTAAACCCAGCTTCTGTTTCCAATAAAGTTCACTGGTCTCTCTCATTTCATAGTGCACACAAAATTATATTAAAGGATCCTGAAAATATAATAACAAAAAATTCAATTGTCTGACTCATGCTTTAGGTTGAGGAAAGCAATCTGAAAGAGGCACAAAAAAACCCCCAAAACATTAAGCAAGTGATTGGAGAGAGAAGGGAAATCTTGAGCAGCACCATGACCTGCACAAGGTTACTTGGAACAACAGCACCATCCCCTGCCCGCACGGCGAACGGCACAGGCACCGCCTGGAGAACGTGACTCCTGTCCCATTTGGGAAATGGGAATTCCACTCACTCTCACTCACCCCATCGACACCCAGAGGAACTCGAGCTGTAACTACAGACACTAAAAGACTGGAAGCAAACCTCTCCACTCAGCTCTTTTTGCTGATTACAGCAAGGCTTCTTGAAGGCACGACTAGAAAAAGTCCTTGAGGTTTATTTGCTTTATTTGCAGCCACCCCGTGAGGTTACAACGTTTCTGTAGATGCTTTGTTGGACAGGGACAAAACAACCACGTGACTGGAAGCTTTACTGAGACAAAGAGATAAAGTCAGAAATGCAACATCAGGAGCAATGACCTGCAGATACCTGACAGGGGACTTACCTACAAAGTGCTTTTGAGTCACATACCTACCCCAGGTCCGGATTCTTTTTCAACAACATCATTTTTTTATACCATAGTCTTTCTGAGGAATTTTTTTTTCATTTCCAACTTGCAAGACACAGAAAGGGTTAATTATGGGGGAGAAAGTTACTATTTCTGATGAAAGCCATCCAGGGCAGCTCCATGTTCTGCACCAGCCACCTCACCTCTCCTTGAATGCCAAATGGAGGCAGATAAGAGCCTGCCTGTTACAAATGTATAGCTATGGATATCTGTGGATAAGTTGGCTGATGTTTGACTTTTAGATGTATTGAACACTAAATCAGAAAGGAGAGGAGTTACTGCTTAGAGCTTGTCATGCATAATATTGCCTTGTTCATAAATTATTGCTTTCAAGACAGGTTTGAGTAAATAAATGCCCACAGTAATTCCAGCTGTCAGAGAGTTGAAGTGTGATAAAGAAACAATAAGAATAGCACTTCTCAGGAATATAAATCAAGCAAAATCTTAATTCCATATCCTTCAGGAAAAAATTGAGGGAAAAATCAAGTAAAGAAGCTAATACACTGTGTGTGCAATAGTGCAAAGATAAAGATATGATGAAAGTAAATAAAGAGTATCATATTTCTCATGGTAAACAGTAGCTCCTAAAACACTTTCCTATGGGGGGAAGAGGGACAGAAAGACGGAAGGGCAGTAGGCCCTTCAGGCAAAACAATATTTTATTTACTGAACTTTGTTTTAAAACAGATTCTTCATGGATAGCAAGGGCTGATTTTAGTGCTCATGCTCCAATTGGCTCCTGACTTAGCAAAGAGCTTGATAGGATTTCTCAACACAAAGTTGTGCCAGAAATCAACAGAACACAGATTTTCATGAATCAAAATCAGAAGATGGAGAGGAAAAAACCCCAAACACACCAATGATTAACTATTGCCACAAAGGAAGTAATTAATTCATTGGCAGCTGTAGCTTAAAGCTCTCTCAGGAATGTGCTGTACTGGAAATACCAAATTCTGTATTCATAAAAGGGTGTGACATACTAAATACTAGAAATATTATAATTCAATAACATTCCTTCCATTTTAATTAGACTTCTTAAAGAAAGTTTAATTACTTCAAAAGGGAATTTCAAACACTTCTGCCCATTTGCTTCCTAAAACTTTCTGCAGATGTCTGATATTATACTGACCCCAACAACTCCTGTTCAGAGTTACTACTTACAAATTCTGGCAGTAATTTAGATCATTCCATTCAAGTCATAAGCATCAGGTTTGTGACAATGTTCAACCTTTGCTGGAAGAGTTTCACCAAAATCTACAAGAGGACTGATAACAAATCATGAATATCAGGTACTACTTTCCTAAGAATTCCAAAGGACCTGAAAGAAGCTGAAAAATTAAATACAGTGTCTAATCTCTGAAGCAGTAGAAAGCAGTGCCTTAGCAAAGATTTCTGTGCATGATTTTGCCTTGGAAAATATTAAATCACTTAAAAAAATTACTAAAAAAAGTAACCCACAAAACCCCAAATCCATAAGTCTTAAATTCAGACAAAAAGAAGTAGGGCAGAGAAAGAATGAAACTGAGAGAGCATGAGCAGGAAAGAGGGAGTGCATGTCTGTGACAGAATGGAAAACAAAGAATGTTTGAGAGTGTATAAGGCCTTAGTTGACATATTTACTTCTAAAAAGAGCTTTCATATTATACATTGAAACCCAAGTACTTCAGTAGCAGGAGATCATGACAGTACTAATTCAGAATTACAATACAAAAATTAAAACTTTACGTTTATTCAATGGGAAAGTTTTAAAGGCCTTAATAACCTGTGAAGAATCAATTTGAACAGGACTATTAGAACGTGCAGTTTCCACAGCTGATGTATGGCACTAACTGATAAGCTCAGTTCAGAACCAGGGTGTTCAGCCCTTATAAAGCATGAGACAGAAGCCTCTTTCTTCTCCTTCACACATGTCAATTTAATTTTCAGTGCCAGTCACAGACAATGAACTAAAGGAGAAAATTTAAGGCAGCCCATGTGACAGGCTGGTGCTTCTCTGAGCCTGTGCTTTGCTCCCTGCTAACCTGATGAGAGTGGTGCTGCAGCCATCCTCTTGTCATCTAAGATCCCTGAAGGACTCATCACTATCTTCCCGTCTCCACTTCACTTGCTTCCATCCCAGAAATCTTTGGCTGGTCCTACAATGCAGCATCTGCTCTACTCTGGCACTGTGCAACAGCTTCCCTTCCTTCCCCCAGCTTTGGAGAAGAGAGAGACAAAGCAGCACAAAATGAGAATGCAATGCCCAGCAAGCACCAGTAATTTGGTTTCCCAGCTACACTGAACAGCAGCACCACCATACACTAGGCTAGACAGGAAGATGGAAAGCTGCAAAACATCATGTATGTCCTTAGAAGCCTGAAAAACAGTAGGAAATATTTACCAACAATTTGGAGCAGTGATATCATATGAAAGGGAAAATAGATTCAAACCCACGTACAACTGTGATAAGAGGGGAAAAATTTATTGGTCCTTTAGATTTCCAATGATTGCTTGTATTATGTTCAGCAAACTCATTCAGACATTACATACAAAGGATATCTTTGCTTTGTTTGCCATGTTAGAAACAGCTTAACATTTGGTGGAAATGTAAGCAAAAAAGGATAATCTTCAAACAATTAGTGCAATACATGATTACTTTTTCCTATTTCAGCAAAAACACTTGCAAAGAACTTGGTCCTCAGCATCCATCTTCCATGAAGATGACTCATGTCACAGAAGGCACTTGAAACTCCTGTAAGTTGGGATGTGGGGAAGAAGGGATCACTTGGCTAACAATATGCTCATTCCTAATAAGTGCAATGCCAGTATAAATTCAAGCAGCCACAAAGCATTAAGGTATAAAAACTTAGGTAGACATGCCAACTACGGGGTGCAAAGCTGAAGTACAAGAGATCCTGGGTGTCCCCGTTACTCATCGTCGCCACCGCAGAGCAGCAGCAGGGCTTTCCTGTAGTCCCCAGATGTGTCTTTCTGTAAACACACAGAGCAGTCACTGTGAGTCACCAACACACACACCAGCCAAGGAGGGCCCCAGCACAGCACACCCACAGGAAATCCGCAGGGATGACTCTCCACTCAGGAATGACACGAGAAAATCCTCTGCCTCTCGTACATTTACACGGACAGACTTTCAGAAACACAAAAACCTCCAAAAGCTTTACTGTGACTGAGCTGCCCAGGGTTTATTCAAATGCATTTATCTGCAGAGAGGAAGTCCAAAGGAGAAGCCTCAAAGCAGCACCAAAAGCAACACATTTGATGAGCAAAGTGCACCTGCCACGGCTTAGAAAGGACCCAGCCCTGCTCCCGGCAATCAGTGGGAAGCTCCGATACAAAATCCACAGGACAGCTGTGTGGGCAGGATTGGCAGTGCCAAAAGCAACTCCACCCAGCCTAATCAAGGGAGCATAATGTCAGGAATGATAACAGAAAATTGTAAAAAGTAGCACTTAAAAATAAAACAAGAAGAAAATCCTAGGGAAAAAAAGCATTTTGGCTTCAACTGTGCAGCAACAGCTGGCTCTGGATTCCTTGCTGGCTCTTTCCTTTCCTGCTCCTTTCCATCACTCAAAGGAGATTATGATTCAGGCTGGTTCCACAGTGAAATGCTTTCCACTTGGAAATGGTGTCAAAGGTTCCACACCGCAACCCAAGATTTTAACTTCAACCTCAGGATAATTCAGACTCCCAGCCCCAGTGTCGTTTCTCTGGAGCCAGCACCCTCTCTGAAGCACTGACTACAAGGCACCCATGCAAGAAAAAGGAAGTGAAGCAGTAGCTAAAAAGGGTGTATGAATAATTGTCATTTCAGAAACCCACAGCATCTGTCCTAGTGAACACTGGAAGGAAACCTTTAGCTTCCCATAGGAAGTGTCCCCTAGTTAAACAATGCAACGTGGTGCTTGCCAAAAGTGCAGACCCACCACATCACTCTGAGTTCAGTGTGTCATCCAGCTCTACTCACATCCACTTCCTCCCAAGAAAATAAACTGTGACAACAATGCCACCTCAATCACCCCTGTATTCCCTGATAACAGAACAGTCATTTTACCTGAATCATTTGATACAAGGATTTTGCAAAGTTCTTCCTGAATTCCCGTCTAATATCCAACAGATCGATTTCACTCCTGGAAACCATGACTCTGATCAGGGTGTCATCATCAGTGCCAGCCCCCTGCAGAGAAGAGATTCAAAAAGATTCAAATATGAGTTTGCTCTGGACAGAGGCTGCAACAGAACAACAAATACAAACAACCAGGGTACAACAAGAAAGCAACAAGTGGCATCTCAAACCAAGCCTGTATTACATTCCAACTCCAAAACAGAGAATACTGGGACAGTATCACAAGACATTCACACAATGTGGAGAACAGAGGACTGACCCTGCAGGGTGCTCTAATCCCTGCACTTCTGTCAAGTGCCATGTGGTCAGACCTCTCATTTCATGTTTCATCTCACAGGCTTCAACTGTGACTGCCCAGATACATGCCAAATAACCCAGTTCCAAGGTTACACAGCAGGAGAACTGATCACCACAATCAGCATCACATATAAATCAGCCTTCCAATGTACTCTGAGACTGCAGAACCGCAGCCAGTTCTGCAGTGGGGCACAGAAATCCTAACAGTGACTAATACAAAACATGGAGCATCGTACAGCAAGACACAGCAGAGCAACTTGTTCCACGGACCATTCAGCTGTTTATTATGAAGGCAAACTTTAAAACCTTTTCCAACCACACAAACATGCTCCACTCTTTTATTCATCTTGATTACTTCAAGCATTTGAAGTTCCTGTGCTGGCAGGCTGGGCAAACTAAATCCTGACCCCTGTGCTCAGACAAGGCAGACTCCACACAAGCTGAAGCGATACAAATGTCCATGTGCTGACCTGCTCATGCACCTCAGGGAAGGACCTGGCAGAGCCCCCACGATCATCTTCAGGGTCACTCAATCCTTGGACTGGGTGCAATATTCTTGGATTACACCTAAAAATGCCCTAAGGCTGCTCAAAAGTTATGCCACGAGTCCAGTGGTTTCTGAGTAGGATTTGACATTAGAATCCCGTAAAAGCCGAGCTCTGCCACACCTAATCATGAAAGCAAACTCTGCTCAGTGTTGAACTTTGTCATGCCAAACTGATAAATTAGAAGTGCAAACTCCTCTGCCAAAGTAATAATTGATGAAGAGCTTTCTTATCTGAAGTGCTTAATTATTTTTATTCATTTTAAAAAAATTAATTGGGGATCTCAACAGCAGAGGTTCGTCAGGCTCCTCATAATAAAAGTGTACAAGAATCTAAACCCTCCAGGAAAATTGCATTCTTTAAAAAATAAATATTAATAAATAAGAAAAAAGCAATCCTCCTCTTACAGCTCAGCATACTGGTATAATATTTTGTATTTTTCACCTGAACCCTATTTTACATTGGTATCTACAAAAGCAGTAAAGCAACTTTTAAAAATTAAGCCATCATTTTGTGTCTTATCACTAATTCTCATGCTGACACTTCATCAACACAACCACCTGGTGACAAACATACCTCAAGGCTTTCCAGCAAGGGGAAGGGAGGAATTCTTCAGGGGAGCTGGTAATTTGCCTGAAAACAATAGACTACCTACCTTACCTTTAATTAATATTATCCACTGGGAGTTAAAAATACAGTTTTCCCTGCTTATCTCTTCCCATCCAAGAGAAGGCAAAGCCAACAGAAACACAGATGTGTTGCTAATGTGATTCCCCTGCATAAACTTTTATAGTTGTTGAAGCCTCTTTCCTTTGCCCTGATGAGTTTTTTTCCCTTCTCAAAACGGGATGGGTAGTAATTAAAACATGTTTCAAAGCTAACTCTGCCTTCAGTCTGTAAATATTCATCTCCAAAACAAAGAGCACTAATTTGCACAGTTTACAATTCAGGTTTTGGTCGTCTTTACTTCCTCAGTACATCCACCACCTGAAGATATTGTAGTCTTTATTCAGCTGAAAGTGCCCGGTGGATCTCACCAGACATTTTCCAATGTGACAGCACCAAGTCAAGAAACAGCTGATGAGACCATAAATGATTTACAGTCTGACAAACCTATGAAGAACTCAAAGTAAACCTTATGAACTGTTTGTATCCTCTCTCAGATCTGCATGCCCTGAACCTTTTGCAGATACTTAGTTGCCAACAGCATCCTGTTGGCACTTACAGTGAAAGAAGCAGCTAAGAACAAGCAAAAGGGAGAGGAATTGTAGCTGGAGGAGATGGAAAACATGCACATACCTTCATGGAGTAATACAGAGTCTCAGCAAAATAGGCAGGCACACTTCGGATGCATTTCACTGAGAAAAAGGCAAATGATTGAATTACTGACTGTTATTCAATACAGGACAACCCTCCATTGCCAAGGCAAGGTGTGTGTTACTGGGTCATTCTCTGCAGTGTGGACAATTAAGTGTCCAGTTGTCACCTGCTCTGTTCCTCTGTTACAGCTCTTTGGGTTTTGGGAGTTAGAATATACCATTTATTTCTAATGGAAAAGATACTTTCCTAGTCAAATTCTACTCCCAGATACAAATTACCACAACACTGCCCTAGATGAGCTGCCAGGAATCCTAAATTTTTGTCTCACGTGCAGTTCACCACCTCCCCTCCAGCCCCCCCTCTGATAAAGGAGGAATAAAGGCCTATTCTCTAGATACCAAAATAGACCCCAGGTGATTAACTTCCAGAAGGAACTGTGTTTTCTTGCCACTGCCTGTAACAACTGCCATTTAAAGAGGCCTGGCAGCAGGCAAAGATGGCCAGTTCTAGATCTATTAAGACTTAATTACCAACTGCCAAAAGCAGCTTCTCCAAGTCACCAGAGGTTTCCCGGTCAATGGTCTCTTCAATTTGGAAGCCAGAAATAGTCATGTACTTGTCAAACACTGCAAAACACAAAGTGTCCTCAGTCAGGTACACAGCCAGCATTCCTCCCTGTCCCTCCCCAGTGCAGGATAACGCCATCTGGGTATCATTATCCATCCACTCATTCTTCCCTCTGCCCCAGTTTCCTCCTGGATGGTTAGCACACAACACATCCCTGCACCTTTATTTCCAATGGCCTAAACATCCCGGTCAAACAGATTCATGAATGGATAAGGAGCAGGGGGAAAAAAAAGTATTGTCTCTTTATTAACAGCTGATAGAACTCTGCACTTATACATGAGCTGGCTTTCAGGCAGAATTTTCCAGACACACAGGAACCACACCACCTACCCCTCCTGAGGTGGGAAACGCTGCGGGTGCCCAAGATGGTGATGAACTTTTCTTCATCTGTTCCCCATTTCAGCTCCCCAGCTCTAAACAAGACCTGTTGGGAATTCAAGAGATCAAAACAGCAGCATTTGTCATGTGGCCACACACCCTGTGAAAAAGCTCCATTTGTCTCACTCTAAGGAGCATTAAACTTACTAACAAGCTATAGCTGGAGGGGAAAAAAACAAAATAAAATTGCCAAGCACTGAACTCATCTTAGAAATAAAAGAAAGAATCTGGAATTGACTGTGAAAGCATTTACATGCATAATGCTGCTTAAGGCCCTCAAACTAACTGCACAAAGCCCTTTCATAACCCTGAAGTTTTCTGGAACTGGGATAATACAGCAGATAAAATCTATTCCCAATACTGCTTTTTCTGCCCTTTTTTTCCTTCCCTTTTTCAAATCAGACTAGGAAAACTTTGTCACACATGGATTCTTCATTGGCAGATCCACGCTAACTTGGCCCAGGAGGAAGTCTTCCAACATGGAGGGGAAGATGGATTTGGAAACAGATTTTTGGGCTGATAATTCTTAGTCATATGAAGCCAGATTTTTATCATTTAATCATTTTAGCACATTCATTGCTCTGCAGGCAAGTAATTCTTGATGCAAAGACCAACCCTATTCAAACCACATTGTGACTCTCCATGCTCTTTTTAAT